TAATTGACGCAAACAGAATGGTTCCTCTTCTATGGTTCAACTAGCTTAAAAGTTACCTTTCAAATGTGAGATTCAAACCTGCATAGAAAATTTTCATTTATATTATACTAACCTCAGCCTGCTTGCTGCTCACTCCTCTCTCTAGAGGAGCTTATGCCTTCGCTTGTTACGACTAAACAACTAAGCCAGGAGAGGAAGATCTATTAGCTAATCAATGACCTCAACATGAACAAACTGCCAGAGATTTCTGATTCAGACCTGAAGACACCCTATCCCTCCAACACTAAAGAGAAATTCATTTCAAAAGAGGAGGAAGAATCTCCTCAGTTTCAGTAGCAAAATGTTCCATTTTAATATCACATTTCTAAAATGGCACTTAATTACCTATCACTATCGAGAAAATCTAAAAGCAACAAAAGCAAAGCACAATGTGACTAGCATTGCCAACAAGAAATGCCCTAATAAGCTTATTAAGACTTCAATTTCACTCAGATTATTGCCTCTAGTCTTCATACATGTTCCACTTCCATCTTACCACATGGGTGACAAACATGCACGATCATGATTATATCCAAATAAAATAATTTAAAAAGATCTGCAAGATTGTAACCAATATTAATAGAATGGTGAACATTTTTTACTTTTTTAGTATGGTCTTTGTGTCTGGCTCACCGTTCACGCTAAATGAGGCATCCACAACATCCGCTTTCAACCTCACAAGACCCTCCAAAAGGCCACATGATTTGCACTTAAAGTGTATTGTTGATTCTGCAGTCTCGAAGCTGATGTTCCTAATTCTAATTATAGCAATCTCTGAAGACTGCAGTGGCCATATTTGGTGAGAGACTTCCTTCGGTGATACATAGCCCATTGATAGTGCTTTCTTTCTTGACTTCTCAAGCTGGAAAAAGCATATATTAACACTTATTATTTTTTTTGATAAGAATTTCAGGCCTCGTTAAAAACCCCCTTCTTGATTGTTGGAGCTAGTAGTGTAGCTCCTTAATCAGCGGAAAGAGGAAAAGAGTGCCTAAGGATTTTATTGCACATAAGAGATTACAAAAGATACAACTTTACAAACACCTATAACAGAACCGATGAACAAAAACAACCTAAAACCACCAATAAATAGCACCACTAGACCAGCCAATTCCTTCATTAGGTAAGACATCAACCTCTAAATTGGCTATCCTATTAACCAAATCTAACAACACCTAATGCAAAACAAACCAACATTACAACCAAAAACTTGAAAAAAAAACGCCTCTGAAAACATATGCCAAACAATTGGAGGATCAAGTTCTAATGAGATATCGCAATCTTCGGGGACCCAAGAGTTAGGTTTGAAGGATGGATCAACTTCATGCACCATAATCTTGAATAAATTATCACCGACCTTCAATTCCAACAACTCATCAATTCTCACTTGATATTTTGTGAGTATTTGGATTTTAGCCCGATCAAAAGATGATGGAAACTCGCAACTTTTGTCGATTGATAATAATTTGCCCCACTTTGTTGCAATGCTTTTGAAAGTATCCCAATTCCAAGCGTGAAAAGGAATACCTTCGCAAACTAACCACACGCGACGACAATTCACCACTAGGCTCTCGGACCAAGTTTCCACTCTGGAAAACCATTCTGTAAGAGTCTCTAGATAGTCATCCTTCACGATTCTCAACGAATCAGAGTCTTCAAAAACCATTAGAACTACATTTGCAGCAGCTCTCATAAGCGTGAAGCCAGCAAGTCCTTTGGCTTGAATTTGGTTAGCAAGATTACCAATTTTAATGAAGTTCTTGCACCACCCCACAAGACAGTTACTCAGCTCGTGTAGCTTATCCTCGTCCACAACGCCCTCAACTTCAGAGAATTTAATCCCCGAAATATCTTCCAGCCCAGACTTACGGCAAACAACAGTCGATGACTTTCTCCAGTAAGATTGTCGGGGTCTGTACTTAGCCAAAGAGACTCTAACTTTGCTTCCATAAATATGATTACCATTCATCTTTGAAATCGCTATCTTGGCTTCTTTAATTGTTGCAAAGCGAATAAACCCAAAACGAACCCCTTGCGAGTTTCTTTTTTTTGGGAATGAAGGCATCAATAACTTTCCCGTAAGTGCAAAAAATAGACCGAAGTCTCTTCCAATGTATCGTCTCTGGAAGATTTTTAATAAAAATCGTGTAACAACCATTTTTGAACCCATTCCCGAAACTTGGTTGACCTTCTTTCGACCAATTATGAAAACCAGTTCTACTCCTTCTCGCTACTTCGAGAAAATCTTCATTAGAGAAACCTTTCATAGTGCTCTCCTTGGTTCCATCTTGATCAATATCGGTGTTAGGAAGAGTTGGTACTGCCTGAACTATTGAAAACTTCCCGACCCTATGATTTCCTCCTTGAGAATAAGACCGACCAATGTCATCTTTTTTAACAGGTGGCTGACAATCCAATGTTGCTTTATCAGAGCACTGCTTCAGAGGATAGGGTGAATGTGGACTGTCACCTGACCTCTCTAAATACGTTCCCAAACTTTGCTGATTTTGGGACGTAGAATCTTTTCTGAAAGTAATACCGTCGGGCTCAACTGTCCAACCAGCTTCACGAGCCAAGGCAGCTAAAACATCATTCATAGCAGCATTCTGGGGAATAGGGAAATTACCGAACTGCCTCAAACCAGCCAGCAAACGTCTGGTGAAAACTCGTCTGTATCGTTTCCGAATCTTTGCGTTCTCCTTTTCATTCTCCTTTGAACGTTTTTCCTTACCAGAAAAAGATGAAGTGTTTGCAGCGACGAGTCCAGCGGTTTTGAACTGCCTACCTCGTGATATTGTATCCTCCAGCATTTTAAGTTCCTGTTCTCGCTTCTTCAAATCAGCCACAAGAGATTTGAGTTCCTTCACTCTCGCTTCTAAATCCTTGGCTTCAAGAGGGAGAGATGAAATCCTAGTCGTTGAAGGAGGAGCAGAACAATGACCTGCAGAGGATGCATCCACCGCATCTGATGCAGCAGACCTTGGAGCATCCACCACGTCTGTTGCAGCAGACCTTCGATGTCGCCTGGGTTGGGACGGTGGTTGAGGTGCCATGGATAGATCGAAACTTACAGAGCAAAAAGCAACGATTCTTTACGCAAGGAAACGCGGGTTCTGGTCACGGAGAGAAGACGAGTTCGAAGGTGAGACAGTGTCGAACGCTGACGGCGGGATGCGACGGTAGATAACAGAGGAAGCTGTGAAGATTTGCGTCAAATGGCAGTGATTTTCGCAAATCTAAGACCAGATCCGAAAACACCGTTAGCCGACGAACCTCCCAGGAAAAAACGCATCAAAAGTAGGTCGGAGTAAGGCGGCGGACAGCTGACGGAGGCGGCGGGTGGCGGACGACGATGGAGGACAATGGGTGTTTGACGGAGGAGAGAAAAGATTCAAAACGGGCTCGTGAAAATTCAAAATTTGAAATCACCTGGGTTAGAGGGGGGGAAATGGAAAAGGAAAAGGAAAGTTCTACAGTCAAGAAAGAAAAATACCTTAAATTCAATGTCACAACAATCAAGTCCATTTGGAACTGACCTATTGGTAAACTTTGAAACCTTGCCAAAAACTGAAATAGCCTCCTTCAACTCGAGACAGTTGATTATAGAAGAAGGTACATTCTTAATCGTAACAGAATGTGGAGTTCTGAATTAGATTTTTTTTCATTATTGTTCTGAAGATCTAAAGAAGGAAGAGAAGACTTCCCAACTTTATGTGCTACATCCTTGATGTTAAGGTGGTTATCTTCCTTAAAAGATGATCAATTTAACTTCTTTTCAGCACTGCCGATTTTCGACATAAAATGGAGAATTTAGATGGTGATCGAAGTCAGAGCACAATTCAAGAGGAAATAGCAGTGAAAGTTTATTCATTATACATGCACTAGCAGCGGAATGTCAAAAGGAAAATAAACAAAAGAACATACAGGAACGATCACACACACACAGCCAGCTCATACATGATTGGTAATAGAGAGAGGAAAGGGAGGATAAGAAATACATAGAATGCCTACCACAAAATGATCATGCTTTCCTATCTTCAGATTCCGAATAATACCTCCAAATCGTTCCACCGGTAAGCCTAATTCTGCAAAATCATCATCTGTTGAAGTATGCAATGACCGCTTTAAGCTCTCAAACCCTTTTGACTGGATGCTGCAACCACCCTTATCATAAGATAACCTCATATATAATATGTGCAAATAGAATCTATGAATTCCAGTATTAGATATACCATGCACATAATGCACTAATTGTTTATGATTCAAATCAGAAAGTGCACTACTCGAATGTATGGAAATTTTGGAAAATAAAACAGCTGCTTGATTCTGCTCCTAAAATCTGCAAGAATGTTAGCACACAGAAAAGCTTTACAGTTTTCAAAGAGGCATTAATTATTGCATTATTCTTATCTTCTCATACATTCCAAAATAATAACATTAAAAACGAAAGCATGTTGATGAAAAACAGGAGCATGATGCTAGTAGAGAGTATTGATTCAAATGATACCCTCAGGAATGTTATTATATGAGCACGTTGGTTAAAACAACTGTTCTAATGGAATAATAAAGTATGCATTACACAAGAACTGTAGAACCTCTTGAACAGACTACTATTGAAATTACACTACATCTCAAAGCCAATGCTACCAAGGCATGTCAACAAGCAGGTCAAAATAATGGCCCGACCACACATAAATGAAGTTTCATCCATCAATCTACTAAAGCAAACAAAGTCAAACAATGACTCTTTATCATAATAACAAATAAGCTTTCCCATCCTGCATCAATAAACCATGCTGGGTGCCTTTCGGAATACTTTTATGCAATAATGTAATAAAGACGACAATAGTTGCTACGCCCACTGTTAATCCTAGACTATAGTGTCCAAATTCCTACCAAGATATGACTTACTAGTTAATACTAATAAAAGATAAACCCTTAACAGAACTACCCACAAATGGTTTTTTGTCAAACATCATCCCATCATGGTATTAAACTTAAGACACAAATCACCACTAAATTGTCAATAATCAGATTTACAGAGGCGCCTGGGAAACAAATAAACTTTAAACCTAAGTGATAAATGCCGAAACTCTTTTTCACATTGTTCGATCAATTTATACCATAACACAAAGAAATGTAGAGCATTGAGAAGGCTAAATTGTAAACGAACAATAAGAATACATTAAAGAAACCAACTCGTAATAAAATAAGCAGAGAAACTTGCCAGGTAATAAGAAGCGCTATTTTCCTGGCTGAAACAAAGCCACTATAACCTGGGGGGAAATTATTCAGTGCGTCAGTTTCATCGTTTTGGGTTTATTGCGAGTTAAAATAGGGAAGAGGTGGAAAAGGCTACATTTTTTTATAACTTACCGGTGAATAGATGATAAACTGGAACTTGGAATCCGCGGTTAAGCATCGCCTCCGAGCTTTCTTGCAGCGCCATTCACGTTGAAGTTTAATGCTTGTATTGATTACAATTTTAAGAGTTAATTATTCCAATTACCGTTGAAGTTTAATGTTTGTATTAATTTTATTATTAAACTCTAAATTGATATGACAATGTTATTGAATTTGAGGATTTTTGGGGGTTTATTCTAAAATTCGAACAGTAAGAAACATTATTTAGAGAAGACAAAAATTACCTCAAAACTAGTCTCATTGAATGATCACTGGTGGAGTTCAAATTATTCGCATGTCGAACTATTTGATGGATTTTCATCAATTTTGAATGATCATTGGAGGAGTTCAAATTATTCGCATGTCGAACTATTCGATGAATTTTCGTCAATTTTGAATGAATTTCATGAAAAACCAATCATTTGAGAAAAAAAAAGTAAAATACAAATATTTTGGTATCAATCTTTCTATTAATAATGACTTCTAATAGGCGATGATTGGATGTCAACGACAATCAGAATGTTTAATGCTTAAAATTGAAGTGTTTTAAAGCATGATGATAAAATTGATGCACAAATTAAAATGTTTATATAGTCCTTAAAACGACGTCATTTTGAGCATTAATATAATCACATAAAAAATATTATTTTGACCATGTCATCACATTACATAAATTATTGTCCATATCATTACATCGTTTTTATGTTAACGTTCTAGTAACATAATTGAAGATAAAATTAAAATTTAATGCTACAATCATATCATTTTAAAGTTTATGATAAAAAGTGCAGTGGTATTTGTAGTAATTTACCCTAATTTTAAATCGCTTTGCAAATAAAGTTTACATTTTCCAGGGAAGCAGATATACGACGCAGGAAGATGGCGATTCAATCCACGTGGCGAAAGTCTATTGGAGAAAACAAGAAGAAGCCTGCGCCCATTGGCCAATTTTCTCAAGAACACGTAGCAAAAGTTTTAGTCCCCAAAGTTGAGTCGTTTGATTCCTCATGCTTCGCTTCGCTCTCTTTTCGCGTCTACTGTTGCTTTCTTATTATTTGTTTAAATGTTTTGAGCAACAAAACCCGGTTTCGAAGCACTTAAGCTTAAAAAAAACGCTCCATTGAAGAAAATAAATTATAGAAAAGCAGAGCCAAAGCTTGGGAATCCCTTCCCGTATTCTCTCTCTCTCAAGATCATTCTTCATTTAGTGGGAATCGAAGATCTGATAACAGTTTTGTAAACATTTCATAAGTTCCGGAGAGATCCAGTTTCTCTCCTGATATCAAATCCATGGCGCTTTCAAGAACGAAGATACTTTTTCTGTTGTTCGCTCTGTCTTACGCAATTGTCTCCATTGCAGGGCATGGGCTAATTTTCTCTTATTATTTTTTTTGTTAATGAAATGCGTTTTTATAAATGTGGAAATTTGTGATGATTTTGCTTCAGGAAGAATTATTACGATATATTGCAAGTGCCGAAAGGAGCATCGGATGAGCAGATCAAAAGAGCGTATAGAAAGCTGGCATTGAAGTACCATCCTGATAAGAACCCCGGCAATGAAGAGGCCAATAAGCGATTTGCTGAGATTAACAATGGTGATAAAAATTTGGTGCTTATCATTATTATTTGTATTTTTGAAAAATTAGTTGAATGATGGAATGGATTTTTTTGATAATGATTAGCTTATGAGGTGTTGTCGGATAGCGAAAAGAGGGGCATATATGATAGATATGGCGAAGAGGGCCTGAAGCAGCATGCTGCTAGCGGAGGCAGAGGAGGAGGAATGGGAGTAAATATTCAGGACATTTTTAGCTCGTAAGATATTTGAATTTTAACAGTCGATTGCATTTAATCATCTTAATAGCGGTTGACTAGTAGTTAAATGTTATTATAAATGATGTGCGGACATTTAGAAGCCAATCAATGTTGCTTAAGTTTATCTTGGGCATGCTAATGTTCCCAAATTCAGGTTACTTACCATTACTTTATTGTTGATTATGTTTAGTTTTTAAGATGATGATGTGTGAAATCAACAATGGTGGTTGACTTATAATTTGGATGATATACGTTGATGATGGTTTAAACATTTAAAAACCGTCTACCTACTCCTACATTCACTTAGTTTACACGTGACTATCCATCAAATTTTAGGAATTGTATACTTATTTTTATGTGTTATTCTGATTTCAACCACCTATGATTGCTGACAAGATAGTGATTTCTTCAGGTTTTTGGTGGAGGCCAGGCAGAAGAGGAAGAGAGAATTGTGAAGGGTAATGATGTAATTGTTGAATTGGATGCAACACTTGAAGATTTATACATGGGAGGGTCGCTTAAGGTGAGAAATTACATGCTCTAGTAAAAATTTCTCATCCTTAATCCAAATTGATAGCTGATCAGTGTTCAGTCATCTTGACTTGTGTGGAACCAATTTTTTTTTTTTTTTGCATACCTTTTACCTTAATTAATGTCTTAACTGAGCTGTTAGTCTGTGTGAATGGTTGTGAGCATATGGTGTTATGTACTTATATTGCCTTTTTGACCTGAGAAGCAGGTTTTTGTAAACAGAATCATGCATTTGAGTACACTTTTGCTTTCTCAGGATATTAGTAGTTTAATTATATCCATGTAGTAATAACTAAATTTGTACACATAGATACTTCAGCTGTCTCGCATGTTTTGTGGACCCTTAACAATGACAAGGCTAGATTCTTTATTTCTTCCGAACATCAGTGTTTATCAGCTATAAGGCATCATAGTATATGGTATGATGCAAAATGAAGCCATGTAATGTTCTGACCCGTATTTGCTAGGCGCTAGATGATTAAACTTTCCTCCATGTTAGAGTTTTTAAGGAAATTGTCTGTAGTCTAAAAGAAAGTTGTTAGGCTGTGTTTGGAGCTAGTCGTTTGTACTTGGCAACTTTTTTTCTGATTTTTATTTCCTAAAAAGCTAGTCAATTGCCTTTCTGTTCCCCCTGCTTCATTCCCAATCATTCTTCTCAATGTTCTTACTTTATAGAAAAGTAACATTGATCTGGAATTTACCAGGTTTGGAGGGAGAAAAACATCTTAAAGCCGGCTCCTGGTAAACGACGCTGTAACTGCAGAAATGAGGTCTATCATAAGCAAATTGGTCCAGGGATGTTCCAACAGATGACAGAACAGGTACTGTGGCTTTATTGTGTTTCTTTTTATTGATTTTATGTTTCACACTAGTAATGTACTAGATCCATTTCCTCTGCCTTTTTACACTGCTTTTCTTTTCTTAGGTTTGTGAGCAGTGCCAAAATGTGAAATATGAACGAGAGGGGTACTTTGTCACAGTTGATATTGAGAAAGGAATGCAAGATGGACAGGTAAGTTTTTTTAGTTTTTTATTTTGTTGTATTTTCTTGGAGTGCTTGTTGATACTGTTGTCCATTTTTCTTATTTAATGGTAAAAAAAATAGCAATGCATGAAATCTTAAGAAAGTGATAGAGGATAAACTTATGTGACATTAAAAGTTTGTTGAATTATCGTTATGATTCTCTGTGCTTCTCTTAAAAAAGACAATTATGAGCAGAAATTCAGAATGATTAATTATGTATCAAGTTTTTCTGACGTGTTTTGTTGTTCCTTATTAATTCAAGGGGGGAATAAAAACGGGCTGAGGAATGTTATTTGGTAAAATCTTAAGAGCATGTCTAAATGTAGCACATTTTTTTTTTCAGATTCATTCATTTGACAATTTTATCCGTGTTTCTTGTCCAACTTCAGTTCTGGAATTTTGTAGTTTTTATCATATTGTAGTTTTATCACACTGCTAGGAGTAGGACAGTTGCATATTCATCTAGTCATTACTGTTTTTGAATTCGGAATAATTTGTTCCTTTACCTCATACAGGAGGTGGTTTTTTATGAAGATGGTGAGCCTATAATAGATGGAGAACCCGGAGATTTGAAGGTTAGACTTAAATTAGTGATGAAAATTTCCCATTCTATGTAGCTCAATTATTGTGCTAATCGCTGGGCATTGGGCAAGACCGGTAGATTAATTTCCGGTCGAAATTTGGTTGCTGCCTTAGTAAGTATAGTGGATTTTACTCATTCTTGCTCATGTAAGACTCGCATTTTCTGCAGTTCCTCATTCGTACAGCACCCCATGACCGGTTCAGGAGGGAAGGCAATGACTTGCACACCACTATCACTATAACACTTGTAAGATTCAATTTTCTAAGCTTGACAAGTCTCAATGTTTCGTCGTCCTTCCAACTACACTACTATGAACTAATTTCCGTGTCATAACTTAATCTAGGCTCAAGCTCTTGTTGGTTTTGAGAAGACCATTAAACACCTTGATGACCATTTAGTAGACATTGGCTCTAAGGTAAGCATGACATGTCCCATGTAGATTTGATTTGGTTGCCTGAAATCAAAACTTTATCCAAAGTAAGAAGTGATTTTGTATCCCATAGGGTATTACTAAGCCAAAAGAAGTAAGAAAGTTCAAAGGGGAAGGAATGCCATTGCATTTCAGCAACAAGAAAGGAGATCTCTACGTTACCTTTGAGGTTTTGTTCCCGACATCGCTTACGGATGATCAAAAGGCGAAAATCAAGTCTATTCTTGGCTAGGATTAGAAGATAACCATATTCTTTGGGGAAGGGCTGGGTCATAAACTGTTCCTTTTGTAACGTTCGATGAGGATACATATAAGCTAGGAAATCTGGAGGGTTTCAAAATTTTCTTCATTCCCTTTGTCACCAATGTGCTCCATTAACAAATTAGTTTGCAGTGTCTGAAAAATACGTTCGAGTTTCCAGCAATTTGGAGAGGTTTTGGTCTCGTTTCTTCTTTTTCTTTTTGTGTGCGTTTCATAAAATAGCAATTTTACTCTTCTTTTCCTGCTTTCTATCAAAATATCATGCGGACGGGGTTTAGAAAAATATCATAACGCGTTAAACATATAAATATATGCTACTGTTAGATCATATTGAAAAGATTATCTTATAAAATTCATTATAATATTCGATCTAAATAAATGTTAAATATTAATGAT